GTTTTTTGGTTTTAGTGTTCATTGCGGTTTACGGATTTTCTGTTTTTCAGCATTTGGTTTCCGGTTTTCGTCAAAGTAATAAAGGGTTTTCGGATTTTGCGGGAAAACGCGGACGACCAAATTGTGATTGGTTTTAGTTTTGCAGCTGATTGGTGGAGAGAGTGGTGCGACTTTCCTGGACTCAGAATCACAGAGCTAGGTAAAGCATAACCAATGAAATCTCGACTACTTTCGACACTAAATTGAAAATTGCTCCTACAAGTTACTTGTGAATGGGCTTTCCTAAGTTTCCACACTTTTTGTTAAGGGTCAGGGTAGAGTCTAACTACGGGAAGATAGACACGATCTTCTCCATACTATCCCTCGGGCCAAATCTCCTAAATCTCTGCCAAATTTGGTTGGTGAAAGATTTGAAAACATTGCAAGCTCGCAATCCCGTGACGCGGCTGGTAGATGAGTTTGGTTTAAGTCAGTTTTCGGCGGTCTCTGATGAAAAAAAATATTTAGACCCCTCCCTGAATGAGGCTTTTGAGTGCCTTAATATACACAGAATGAAACAAATAATCCAAATAGATATAAATCGGCTTAAAATCCCGACTGACAGGAAGTTGACAAGATGGTTATTTTGTGAGTGCAGCTGAGAAGCTAAACTCGAAGCAACGGAGAAAATAAAAACATTGAATAGCAGGGTGGAGACCCTGGAGGACCTGGACCTAAACGGGCACCAGACTTCCGGTCCAGGATCACACCGCCTTCTAAGTTGTTGTAAATCATGTTCAGTTATCAGGTGCAGAGCCATTGTTATTTTCCTTGGTGCCTTTTTCCATTTCAGTACCTTCATGACTCGGAGATGTATACTTCTGTTCTTTTAACTGTTGAGAACAATCAATGTTTCAAATTAAGATAGCATTAGACGCCCCAGGATGTTGCACTCTTAAATTTTATTCTGATGTCGAGAGCAGGTTCCTGATTGCGATGATTGCCTCCTGAAACGCTACCTTGTGGACCAGAGACACGGAAATTTTTCTTCCCAAGTGATTTAGGGTACTACACATGGCACCATGAACAATACTTCTTGAGATCCGTCTAGATAACGACCTCTGATACTCCCACGAGTGTCTGAGATCC